AACAGCTATGTCGTACAATTCGTTCGATTGTAAAGCATCAAATGAATGACCTAAAAATGGATTATTTTCTAAACTAGCGATGGCAATATCACCAGAATAAAGCCAACTTTCAAAGCATTCAAACACCTGTATTTGATAATCAATATTTTCGCCTGAATATATAAAGATTGTTAGATCTGATAAAATATAACATTATATAACCGAACAAATTTGACGTTAATTACCCGAATTTTGTAAATAAATCAAAAGCATTTGCAACACCTCATTGGCATTATTAGTTAATAACTCTTTCGATCTTATTTGATATGCTTCATCCTATAACCGCCAAAGTAGAAATATGTAAGAGTGAGATTAACAAATCATGTTATTTGAGTAAGAAATTTAATCTTACCGATATAGGTATACGATTATTTGTATTGACTTCTTCTGGAAGAACTTTAAGAAATTCTAACAAACATTTTACAGTATCAGGGTTTTTACCATATAATTCTGCAAATTGAGGTAACACATTTTGCCACTCGGGCATTTGAAGAGCTAACGCCACGAGAGAAAGACATATCTGAGTAATAATCTTACGAGGACCTTCACGGTATTGATAAAGCAATTCCAAAAGCGAATCGCGAAGAGAAATTCGTGCAGTACCATCGAGTTGATGTAGGTCGAGCGTTATCTAATGTTAACGACCAATATCAGACGAGATTCGTAATTTGATTTGAGGGACCGATTTAAAATGCGAAAGTTTACCGATCAGGAAAGAAAGAAGCGCGTCAACTTGAGGTTCAATAGTTATGAGACGTATGGGATCCATACCTTTTGCCGAAATGTTCGAGCAGCAAAATATCGCGCCGTTTCAGGTGTTACCTGTGATCTTAGTATTTGATCTGATAAAGCCCAAGCTTCTGACTGTAGTTGAGGACGGTATAAAAGAAATTGGTGTTGAAAGTCTTTATAATGCTTGAGACGAATTCGAACAGCGCTTTAGTTGTTAGTTTAGATCTGATTTTTCCAACATATTACCGTCTTCTGAAAAGCTTGCAGCCAAATATCAGCTTGTTCTCTTCTTGCTTTATCATGAGAGGTGAATAAAGCATTCACTTCCACTAAGAAAGCCTCTGTCGTATCGGTTGCCATTGCGCACAGCTTTGTAAAAGAACGGAAGCAAGATTTTTGCAGATCACAAAGATATTGCTGAATAAGTACTGAAGTAAACTCGCGAGCGAACACAGTCCTTCGGTATTTATAATTTTCCAGAATTTTCCCCTCTCGAGGAAGATGACATCACATAATCGGTGAATTATAAATGCTATCACTATTATATAGTCATGTCATGATATTCATGTGATACCATGCGGATCTTATCTCCTTATCGGGATCGAATATTTCAAATTTTTACAAGCCTTTTTTTCGCCTTCGAAAACCCATTTTCCAAATTGGCCGTTTCATTTTGAACCGAGAAGTGAAACTGGGAAACTCAAAAAGAGATTACT